AACCCACATGCTCATCATGCCATAGCCTGCACAGGCTTTAATACAATGCAAAGCTTGAAGCTTTAGCCAACACAGGCTCGAATATCATGCACATACATCCAAACACAGCCCACACAGGCTCTCTTAACCTACTTCGTGCACATACAACATGCAAAACTGTACACAACATGTTTTGATGTTTTTAATCCTCGATCCGGGCGGTAGCCGACTCCAAAATGGCCACCGCGGGCGCTGATGCAATCGTGCTTCTGCTTCTATGCAATCAGCTCTCTCTCTCCCTCTTCTGCCCCTGCTGCACTGCTGGGGGCTTGTAAATGAGGAGCTGTTGCTCCGGCTTCAAGGGATTCGGGTTCTTGAGGAATGGAATCGAAAGCTTGTGAAACTTGCCCCTGCACATCTCCATGGTGGCCTCCGACTCGGTGCTTGTATACCCGACCCAGAAGAAGGGCACCAACATGCCTGTACCAAAATCAACCTTGGGGGGCTGCACAACGAACCATGCTCCGGACTCCGTCTCAATCAAACATTTGCCCTTGTCCTTCTCGGGGGAGCTGCATTTCGCCAGGAGCCCATAGGGGTAGAGTTTGAGGTGGCCTTTCTTGAAACTTTTGTTCGTGAAGACTTTCGCATCAGAGCTGAACTGAAGATCACCGCCATCGAGCTGGTGCCTGGGTTCCATACAAACATGCATGATTTTTTTTAGCAGCCCTCATAACACAAAGCATGTTTAAAAAGGCATGTCGAGCTGCTCCTGGAAAGCTGTGTGCAACTTGAGGAAAGCATTGCACTTTTCAACTTCATCCGTGAGGTTAGTGGCGATCTGCATTCGCTGGACGATGCTTTCATCCAACAGGATCGGGATCTCTTTGCTGGTCGCTTTCATGAACTTCAGGTCTTTGTGTGGCACCCGAACCGTTTCCACATTGCCCCGAACATCTGTGACCTTAAACACACCATGCATGTCGTCCATGTGCATGAACACGTGGATGTCAGTGCAATCCTTCTTCAGGAACCTTCCGTTCTCTTTCAACCATGAGTACTGCTGCATGGCGATGCTGGCAGGCGACGAAGTATCCTGTGTATATAATGCACATGCATGCATGCATGCTATGTCCCGAACATATCTATAATGCAATAACTGCAAGGATACAGTTTCAATCATCATACAAGAATGTCGCATGCAAGCCTGTATAGGCTTTCGTCTCCGAGCCTATATAGGCTGTGCAGAAGCCTGTGCATGCAGGCAGGTTTGAGCCAGATACTATTTAGGGAAAATTAGGGCTTAGGGCTTACTATTTTCGGGCTGTTTAAATGCTATATAGGGTTTTTTTTCCTAACTCCAGGCCTGAAGCGACATGACCTTCACATCAGTGCTGCCGGAGGCTCCCGTGCCCGAGGACATGCTTCCACCATGACTTTGCCCGCTGGAAGACTCGCCTTGCGACTTTGCAGCTTCAACTTCTTGTGTGAAGACCTCCTGGATCTCTTGCAAGCTCTGGAAAACCCGGGTTTCCTTCCACTTGCCCGACTTCTTGCACAAGAACAATGCAGTTCGGATCTGCATCTTGGCAAAGATGGAAACGCCTCGCTTCTGCTGCATCCATTGCAAGTTCTGCAACAGATCCCAGCACATCTTCATCAGCTCTTCGGCTGCCTTGATCTGCTCTTTCATGCCCTGCGATTTCATCTTTTCCAAATCACTTTTCACGAGCTGCTTTG